AACTTTAGACATTAACATTAGCTGTAGCATCAAAACAAATTCCTTGCATGTTAACGAATACTTGTCATAAAAAGTCTTTTCTGATACTGAATGGCTCCGTCTTTACTGCTCTATAGCCAATCCAGAGAGTCCTGGATTATTATTGGTAGAGTCTCTCCTCCCTGCGCTTTCCTTACTTCTGTTTACTAAACACATTCTGTCTGACAGCTAAAGAGATGCATGCCAACAACACTGTTGTCTCAGCGCTGAGCGTTCAGAGTTGTAATGGCAAGCAAATCAGGATTGATGTCCTCTTAGATATCTTTTTTCTTAAATTCACAAAATAAACAGAGAGCAGTTTTTTTTTTTTTTTACCACAAAGCTACATTTTAAGTGACACCTAACTGTTAATAAAAGCTATAAAACTGTTAGAGATGCTTCACTTCTACCACGAATTGAGCATCTGTGACTAAAAATCTTTGGGCAAGTTGAGACAAACTGAAAACCTGAGACGCTCCAGGCTTCCATCTGATCTACACTGATCATTTTTGTAGTTAAAAAAAAAAACACGTTAGTGTAACGTGGCACCTGTATAATGTGTCACCAGAGTGGTGCAAGGCGATCAGGCCTGAAGCAACCGCTAACATGAAGCTGAACCTAATGGGCTCAGCTTTAAGAATGCTTAAAGAGCCGAGGCTGCAGCAGCAGCTAGCTGTCAGCAGTGAAATCTTACCCCTCCGTAGACTCCAGCAGCAGCCCATATCTCCAGACAGAAGCAACAACATGTTAATTTGTAAATTGTGGAGCATGCTCACACAACTTTTGCTAAAATATGACTTAGACTCAAAGGAAAACAATAGATACCTTTTTTAAAACTTTCATGGCAAAGATTTTGCCTGCTGCAGCTCCAACAACTTTTCGAACTTGGAAAACCTGCAGAACGAGGATAGAAAAACTTGTTCTGAATAATCACAAAGGCAGTTTGGGGGAAAAACATAAGTCAGCAGAAAGCTATAGAGGCAAAATAGTTCCCCCCCTATGAGCCTTTCAGACAGACAGCATGTTCATGTAACTCATACCTTTCCATAGCCGCCTTTTCCAAGCACCCTCAGCAGCTCGAAGCACTCTGGTCTGATGTTCTCCGTCCCCTGATTGACGTTATCCTCTGAGATCTCAATCTTCTCACAGTCATCCATATTGCTGCAGGAAGAGACAGAATTAAACTTCCTCCTTTATGGGCCTATTTTTGGATACCAAATATTTAAAATAAGGCAACAGCTCTGAATACTTACAACTCAAATCCACTGCACTGATCCGTGATATCACTGTTCTGAGCCTGGTAGGAGGAGCAGAAAGCTGATCACAAAAGCAAGCATTAAATACTTATTTTAGAAAAAAAATAAAACAATAGGGACTCTGGTGTGTAATATTGTTATGCATGTTGTTTTTAAAATTCTATCCTGATGTTTAGTGGGGGTTTTTTCATATAGCCTCACTGTAAAGCAGTTATTTTGAGTGTTCAGAATAAGTTAAAAACAAACATGTAGAAAACCTTTGTGTTTTCATATTGACCAACATGTTGATGTTGAATTAATTTTTCAATATCATTTATGGTTTCACTGTACAGCTACTTTGTTCGGGGCATCAAATTAGCCAAACTGAAATCTTTCAAAATGACCCCCTTTTTTTTTTTTATACATCCTTTTGTGTAGAAACATGAAAGTTGGTATAATCATTCCTCAGAGTCGGCTGATTTTCACAGTTGCGCTTTAGATATATCATTTATGGTTTGACCGTGCCGCTATGTCATTCAGGGGCCTCAAACCAAAATCTTTCAAAATTATGCTTTTTTTTTGCATCGTCACCATGGCCACATCCTCTTTTGAGGAGACATGAAACTTGGCACTGTTGTTCATCAACAACTGTTGATTCTTGTGATCTAAAAATGTTTCTGTATCTTTTACACTTTTTGTTGTATTAATCCTAGTTCAACACAGCATTTTACACATCCTTTACATTTTGCTCTTTTCTTTTCCAAAGGTCTGTCAACTTCCAGGTAAAAAGATACTTTTGAACTTTTTCTTCTGGTTAATCAATTTCACAAAATGTTCTGCTTTTAAGATGAGTGTGTTTCAGCCAAATGATTCAACCCTACAAACTCTTCAGATGATTTTTAATTGTTTTCTGCAGTTTGAAGTTTCTGATGACTTCCTATCATATTTTCATATGTTGTTTAGCTAATTTCTGCTTTTTCCCCCCTTTTCAGTTTCTTTGGCTAACTTTTCTATTTTTATCCAGCATAAAAAAGCATTCCCACTTTGCTGTTTCTCCAAAACAGCTTTTTCTAGTTTTTGATTACTTTCCCCACACAGAATTCCCAAAACAGGACCAGCCAAGATGTAAACAAACACATGGTGCGAAATTTCAGCCTCATTTTCGTCCACTGAAAACTGAATATGTAATTATATTTGGTTAAGCAGCATTTTATAAATACAAATCACACTTTTTGGGTTATGGTGGGAGTGAAAATAGCCAGACAGTTTAATTATACATTAATTCAATGTGCAATGGCTGCTCTCTGTGTAAAAAGAAGCAGACGGGCAGCCCTTCCTCGGCCCACAGAGCCCCACTCTGTCACATTTTGCCAAAATAAACTGTTGCGTACGGAGCTGCATTTATCACTGCTGCACCTTTGGCCAAGTAAGGGTGATTTGCACAACCCCTGCATGACAGCCAATCAGACAGCCTCTGCAAGGCATAAAACCCGCTTCTAAAGCGGCTTGAAAGAGTGTGAAAAATAACAGGCGCTTATAGTGCTTGCTTATAGTAAGGAAGAGTATGCCAGGCCCTGACAGCTCCGGCTGCTGCAGCCTGCAGGCCTACAGCGGCGGCTGCTGCTGCTGCTGGCAGACCACCAGGCTAACGCAGCTAGCTAGCTAGCTAGCTACGGCGCGGCGGACAGTTTTTGCTCTGACAGCCGCTATTAAAGTACCTCGTCGTTCTCATCGTCGGAGACATTTTCCTCCGGCTGGTCCAGGTCAATGTCAAACACACCAGCCATCTCAGCGAGTCGTTAGGGTCGCTCTATCACAGACCGCGGATACAGCAGGCGTCCCCCACCTCATGGACAGACACGCACCGCCGCCATAACCGGCTACTACACCGCGTATGCGCATTGCGAGGCTCTACGGAGGGGGCGGAGCCTGTTGTCTGATAAACAGGGAATCAACCTGACTGTAAAAAAGCAATTGAGCCACCATTGTTAAAATAAGCAATTCAATTTAACTGCTCTTTGTTTGTTGGTAAATTTGTGTTTGTTGTTTTATTAAGTTCAGAATCATATCTTTCAATATAAAACAGCCATAATTTACTTAATGTTTAGTTTAGTTTAATTTATCATAACGGGAATAACCCCACGTTGCTTTTTTTTTATACAATAAGATGTCTGTACGTGGTTTACCTGTTTCAAACAGGAGACAGTGTCTGCAAGAAGAGGAGGCATCTACAATATAATTATAGATAATTATAACGCTTCACTATCACAATAATGTAGACACGAGATTGCTTTTCTTCTAGTTATAGTATTTGTCCTTGTTTAAAAAAACAAAACAACAAGAATGTTCTTAAATGCAGCTACAATCTGGTAGAATTGTATAAAAACCTACAAAGACAAGGTAAACGTTTCATTAAAAACGAATACAAATATATTAATGGAAAAACTATATTACTAATTTATTAAATTAAAAAAGGCTTTAATCATAAGATAGGGAAGGACATATGAGGAAACTATTGCCTTTCCATACAGAGAAAACTTCCCAAAAGATAAAGACCATATACTCTTTTCTTTCATATACTCTTGGAGTATGTATATATATATATATATATATATATATATATATATATATATATATATATATATATATATATATATACAGCAGTAAAGGTATGATATATTTCCAAAAAGCAATGGAATTTAAGAATTTAGGAAGTATAAATGTCCATAGTTGTATATTGGTTATTTATTCTCCATGTGCACAACATTTATATTGTTAAAATACTTTACAGTGCAATTTCTATCATCTTTTTGCTGCTGTAAACACCAGAATTTCCCCAATGTGGGACAATAAAGGGATTTTCTATTCTATTCTATTCTATTCTATTCTATTCTATTCTATTCTATTCTATTCTATTCTATTCTATTCTAAACATGAAGACTTCGAAATTATAATTTTGGATAGATAGAAATAATATCTATTTCTTTTAAATTGTCTTTAGACAATGCTAACTTTGACCACAGAGGTTCAAAATATGGATAGATATCTTGGTAATAGCTGAAGAACATCGAGAAATAAATGTGCCAAACTGGAATTTTATTCTGAAATATTCGACAGTCGCAACCGGAAATGACGTTTTGACTTCTAGCGCCGCTTCCAAAACACAGACAGCGCGCTGACCTGGAGCCTGAGCCAGATGGCCTGATGACCTGAGGCCCCCCTCCGTGGTTAAAGATGTCGGTGGTAACGGTCCAGCTCGGTCAGTGTGGTAACCAGGTGGGACAGCAGCTGTGTGACGTCATGTGGAGCGATGCTCAGCACGCGGAGGGAAAAACATACAGCTCGGTCAGCTGTGAGCGCTTCTTCCGGCGGACCTCACAGGGAGGTAAACACGGGGCCCTTTAACGATCGCTGTCATCTTGGCACATTTTGAATCTGTCCTTGTGTCCCAGACTTTGAGGCCCGGGCGGTGCTGATTGATATGGAGCCCAAAGTGATCAAGCACAGCATGAACAAGGCTGAGAAGTGTGGGAGATGGAGGTATGGAGAAACTTCCCACTTCAGCCAGAAACAGGGCTCTGGAAACAACTGGGCCAATGGGTGAGATGTGAACCAAACTCATAGACTGAAGGTATATGTAGTGAAAATGATGCATAGCAACAATAACTCAGAAAAAGAAAACAGTTGGGGGGTTGTGTTTGTTCCCGCCCCTGGATTACATAAAGACCATAAAATTAGTTTTCTAATTTAACTTGTCCTGCTGGAAGATTAAACTCTACCTATAGAGCTTCTAATAGCCTTTCTTCCACTATTCTTCTGTAATTAGCTAAATTTCCTCAACTGTCCCACCAGAGATACTATAACACCAGGCATGTTGTATCAATATTTGTTTTTGGTTGGATATTGGTTTCAACTTTAGAAAATCAAAAGCCAACGTTGAAACGTCAAAAGCTAATGTCATTTAAACGTATCTTCCATCCATCCATCCTTCTTTCCTTCAATATTGAGCATAAATCAAAAATGTCTGCTTCACACCTGCGACAAGCTCACTGCGGCACACTGCTGCAGGAGCATAACCAGCCCTTTATCCGGATCAAAGGGGTAGCAGCTTCAGCAGGGAGGCCAACAAGTCCCACTCAACAGCCACTTGGGTGATCTCCTCTAGGGAAAGTCCAAGGCGCTCTCAGGCCAGCTGAGAAACATAGCCCCTCCAGCGTGTCCTGGGTCTCCTCCCGGTGGGACATGCCTGGAACACCTCACCAGGGAGGCATCCTAACCAGACACCCGAGCCACTTCTGCTGGCTCCTCTCGATGTGGAGGAGCAGCAGCTCTAATCTGAGTCCTCCCTGGATGACTGAGCTCTTCCCCCTGAGAGAGAACCCAGACACACAATGGAGAAAACTCATATCGGCCGCTTGTATCCGGAATCCTGTTCTTTCGTTCATTAGACAAAGCTCATGACTATTTATGAGGGTAGGAAATTAGATCAACCGGTGAATCGAGATATTTGCCTTATGGCTCAACTCTTTCTTCACCAAACTTTAAGTTTTCAACATCAATCTGATGCTGTCATTTCATTGGTTTCAAGTTGTGTTGGCTGGTAGCAATATCCAACGTTTGCTCAACGGTGATTGCTAATCTTCAATTGATAAAGGATTTAACATAAACGTAGTCTGACACATTTGACCAAAAGTTTAGTTTTAAAAGACAGATAAAAGGTATATGATAGGAGATTTTATTTAAGGTTACAGAGTAAAGATGTCTTAGTGCCAATGCCTAAAGCCTTTTCAGATCATTAGTAAATGCTCATCTATCCAGGTATAGCGTCCATGGCCCTCGTCACAGAGACGCGTTGGAGGAGCTGGTGAGGAGGGAGGTGGAGCACTGTGACATGTTGGCAGGATTCCTCCCCGTGATGAGTGTTGCTGGGGGAACGGGGTCAGGAGTCGGTACTTTCGTCACTCAGTGTCTCCGAGACGCGTACCCTTCATCATTTGTCCTCAACCACCTCACCTGGCCATATGGGACTGGGGAAGTATGTCCAGATTTCCTGTTTTTACCAAATAGGGTCTCCTGACTTTAACTGTTCGCTATTGGATAAAATGAAAACAAAGTTGGCTAATAAAAGGTCAGCGTAACCGTTCTTTTTATTTAGAAAACAAACCTGCTAAGCCAGTGTAGGTCTTTGCAATGTGTTTATTATTCTGTACCGATCGGTCTTCACAAAATCTAAAACACTGTTAAATGTCAGCTCAAAACAATGAAGATTTCAAAGTTTGCAAAACATAATGATAACATTTCAGAACAGAATAGAATAATCTTTTATTGACGCCCCATTGGGGAAACTCCAGTGTATATCATAACAATGTTCTAATACAGTTAGAGAAACAAACAGATGAACTTTGTTAATAATAAAAAAAACGACTAGAAAAAAAAATGGAACAAGAAAATAAGCAGGAACTAGGAAGGGAAACATGTCCATCTATGTGATAATTTCTCTACACCTTGTCTTTTCAGGTGATCGTCCAGAACTATAACTCTGTGCTGACGCTGGCTCACCTCTACCAGCTTTCCGATGCGATCCTGGTGCACGAGAATGACACAGTGCACAGGATCTGCAGCCAGCTGCTGAAAATCAAGCAGATCTCTTTCAATGACATCAACAGGGTCATTGCTCACCAGCTGGGTGGGGTCCTGCAGCCCACACTGACCCCCGACTCCTGTGGAACCTACAGCAGGCATCCTGTTGGTAAGAGCAGAACGCTAGGAGGTTCACACCAAGGCTGAAAGGGTTAAGGATTAGATTTCACTTTATTGGTATGAAAGGAATGGAAACAGGAGCCTTTATGTTGTGAATTTATTTAGTGAACTTTAGTGTTGAATATTTAAAAGTGAATTTAATGCACTGAAGTTTCTAAAAAAGTTAAGTTTGTAAAGGAGAATTTTCATGACGTTTAGGAACACTGCCTACTTTCCACTGTTATTGTTTTGCAAAATGAAACAAATTTATTTGATTTGAGTTTAGTTTGATTTTTATTCAGAAGCAGGAAAAAACCAAATTCACATTCTTGGCTGAAAGGCTCAGGCTGAAACAAAAGCTAAAGGATGCCTGACTTCTTACCACAAAACTATTATACACTTAATAATAGTAGAAATAATTAAGTAATAATAGAAGACATATTTACAGAAGAGGATTAGGGCCAATGAAAAGAAAAAGTTAACTCATTTTTAAATTTTATTTCAGTTTAACATGGGGAAAAAAGTCAGAATTCTGACTTTTTTCTCAGTACATATTTAACTTACAATGACGCTATTCAAAATATGATATGCACAGAATTTTTTGAAACTAAGACAGGATGTACATGACTTTAACTATGGCAGAAATACATTACTTTTTGACTTTTTGTATGGTGAATTTACATTTATCTCTAAAATTATATTTACTTTCTGGAATAGAAAACAACTTCTGGATACAATCTGCCAGTGATTTTATGGTTATTTACGATTATTATTATTATAAATGGCTCTTTTTTGTTGCATCACAACCTTTTCTGTCATTGCAAGTTTTTCCCCATAATTCCACATAACATGTTGAATAACAGTGTATCAAAGAGTAATAGATTAGACCTTAGGAATTAAGCACGTTGTTTGTTATATGTAAAATTCCTACTTTTTCCTTTTAAATATTCTATATGCTGTTTAGGATCAATAGTTATTTACAAAAATGTTGTCTCATAATCTCTTTCACTTTCAACATCCAAACTCTTTAGATTCATGTCAGCATTATTTACTTTTTTGTTTCCAAATACCATCAATTTCATCTTTATCTGCTTTTAATCATTTTTTACATCAGACCAGACTTTTAGTATTTCCAGCTCTTTTTCGATTGTGTATAGAAGTTTTTTATTGAACAATACATTTTAGCATTGTCAGCAAAAATAATACTTTTCAATAACTCAGGAACTTTACAGATATTATTTATAAAGACAATGAATAATTTCGGGCCGATTACAGAACCCTGTAGCACACCACATGTGATCTGTCTAAGTTGTGACCTTGTTTAATTGATTTGTACATACTGATGCCTTTTCTTGAACTATTTTTTACTACATAAATTCACTGTTCCCTCTTAATCCATACATCTACAGCTGTTTAAACAATAGAGTTTGATTTACAGTACCAAAAGCTTTCCTTAAATCAATAAAAATACCAACAGAATATTGATTATTTTCTCTTGCTTCTGCTATTTCTTTTACCATTTGTATTACCACATACATAGTTGATCTATTTTTTCTTAATCCATGTTTTTCACTTAATATTTTATTTGTGTAGGTATTATATATATTTATATATCATCATATAATAAAACAATATCTCATGTATCATTGTGGCCACCGTTCCTAAGGCGAGTTGGTGAGTGCTCTGGCCTGCCACCCGGAGTACAAGCTGCTCAGCGTGTGCACCATCCCTCAGATGTCCAGCTCCTCCATGGCCTTCAGCACGTTCAGCTGGCCGGCGCTGCTCAAACACCTGCGGCAGATGCTCATCTCCAACACCAAGATGGAAGAAGGCAGGTTTAGTCCAAACAAAAGATTTATGGCTGATTTATACCCCTCCCCCTAATATAAAAAGAAATTCATGGTGATGGCTACTTTGTTAACTGTGTTAACGGTTGTGTTACGTTAGGTATAGACTGGCAGGTCCGACCACCTCCAGCCTCTGCAGGGCGGACCGGCAGCCTCGCCGCTGGCAGCTTTAACACCTCCCTGGCCAACCTGCTCATACTGAGAGGGAAGGACGTCTACAGTGCAGAGACAGGTCAGAGACACAAGAAGGTGAAAGGGGATTGAAACTTATAGTAGGAAGGTATTTTATGGTTTTTATGTGACAATCTGAAAAGTGTCCTGTCTGTGTAATCAGCCCTGTTTACTCCCACATTCCTAAATAAAATCTAATGCAATCTTTTGGCTGTAGAGTCTCTCTCTCTAAAGCCATGTTGTGAGAGAGCCCTGTTTGCATTCTGCTAAGAGTCTTATGGCGGATGATGTAAACTTTTGGGAAAAGGTGAGGAAAAAAAAGTCAACCTTAAAAAAAAAATGGCCTGTGCGGTGTTAAAGATTTCACACCCGCTTGAACACTACTGCTCCTAAAATGATGCTGGCTAAAATGACACATGGATCAGAGCTACAATGGAAAGGTTGTGATCAGGGCAAAGGGTTAATACAAGGCTAAACACACAAGAAATTAAGAATCTTTGGCAGAAATTAAGACATTTAAAATTTATCGTCACACATTCTCTCTGTTTAGTGTAAAAAAAAAAGGCTTTGGCAGGTTTGCAAAGAAGGAAATGCAAAGATGTTAGTCTAGATTAGCAAAAATTGTGGAAGAAAACAAACAAATGGCACAAAAATCTAAACCCAAGTAAGTTTTTTGTATTTAATTTCAATTAGAACAAAAGGGTCAAAAACCTGAAAAATCCAAGGAGCTGTTTTACTTTCCTTTCCAAAGAATGTGATCTCTCTGGAGCTGCAAGCTGTTTTCATCCAAAAGTCCAATAATAATGTATCAATTTCTCTAATTTTGCAGTTCAGCATTTTTTTCTTATATAAATGCATTTTCATTCTTTTTTTTTATCTTAAAGAAAAACATAACTGTACACTCTTGTGAATATTGAAGCCAATCAACTCCTTTCATTATGAAAAATAAAATAAGGAATCCTTCTGACCTTCCCATATCTGTTTCTGACTATAAAGGTCCTAACTTGTAAAAATGCTGTTTTACTGCCTGGCTCAGTCAATTGTTGACATTTGATGCAGAAATTACGCCAACATTGGGTTAAAACAGACAGATGGACTGTTTGATTTAGATCCTATGGCATTTATTTCCATCCTTTTTATAATTCAGGTGAAAGTTGTTAGGGACACCATAGAAATGACTCCAGGCTGATAGATTGTATGTTACACATCCAGCTGCCAGTATTTGCTGCTCTATTGCATCAAATCCTTTAACATAAATGTAATATGAATAAAAGTTTTGAAAAGTGAAATGCACCTTATAATAGGAGAAATTCTTTGTTTTCTTTTTCTCCCCAGGCGCCTTTGAAGACTCAGCCATTTATACATCCTGGCTCCCACCAGAGGAAGCGTTCAGCCTGTGGAAATCCCCCGTTCCCTTCAATAAGTATGAGAAGTCTGCTACGCTGGTTAGTAACAGCCAGGCTCTGCTCAGACCTTTGGATGACATGGTGAGAAAAGCCTGGAACATGTTTGCTTCCAGGTGAGTCAGTCCTGCGTCTCTCTCCTTTTAAACAAAAAGAAAAGAAAAAAGTTCCATCATTTTTCTCTAATCTGGATTCATTTTTTCGATGCAGGGCCTACATCCATCAGTACGATAAATTTGGGATATCAGAGGAGGATTTCCTGGACAGCTTTACATCTCTGGAGCAGGTGATCGCCAGCTACTCTCAGCTCTAGCAGTGAGAGAGGCAGCGAGCACAGCCATGGACTGATTGGATCCTATTGTATAAATAATTCTGGTTTCTGCTTTTTAAAATCTAATATGTAGATAAAATTATTATTTTTTTAAAGTTTTTTGAGTGTGTTTATTTTTTATGGAATGAACCTTTTTGTTGAGACACAGTGGGAAAATACGTCCAGTCTGTGCTATTGGAGTCACTCATGGCTGAAAGTTTCAGTAGGTAAAATGTCGACCTTTCATTTTTTTTTTTAAAGGATCCAGCAATTTGCTCAGACATACTGGATATTAGACTGAACCAAATCAGGACTGATGGATTCGTCTCCTGGAACTAGCCTCTTTTCTAACCATTCTCAGCTCATGGCAGTGATTTTAGGCAGAATTGTGACTCAGTCCTCACACATGGACAGTCTTAGGATGGCGCTGCTGAACCCATGAGATCTCTGTCTCTTTTCCAACTGATGTGAAGCTTCACCAAATAAAATAACTTCCCCTCAGTTGTACGCAGACCCTTCTGTCTTTGCTGCCCTTCTTAGAATGAGGCCACCCATGTTAGGTAGAATACTCTCACCTTTGCCTGCTTCAGTTCCTAATTAAGCTCTGCACTGGTGGCAATCCAAACCTAGCCATGTTACCTCATGTGGACGGTTCTTTACTTTCTTGGACACTTTTAAGCCTTTTTTTTTTTCAAATCTTCTCATCATCTTACCATGAAGTTCTTGATATTTTTTTTAAGTGGCTGATTTTATTTTTTTTTTTTACCAGCAGCGGTATCTATGCCTGCTGGTCTGAGGCAGAGCGATGACGGCAAATCCAAAGAGCCACATTTACCTTCAGTCCAGCTTAAAAAACATCTAATTTAAAACAGCAAAAAAAAAAAAAAAACGTTCTCCATTTCTTTATATCTAATAAAAAATGTCAGTAAAATAATTTTTACAATTTCTGGCAGATAAGTCACAGAGAAGTCACCTTCAATAGTTTCCTGCCATGCAGGAACTCTATTTAAGCAACTATTTTTGTCTTTTTATTCTAATGCTTTGTCTTCATGAATACTTTTTACCCTTAGCTGACAATTCCAACACCTCGATTTGCACACAATGTAAAGGATCACCAATCTCCTACAGCCTATCAGGATGGAGGAGGTGGTATTATTTCTATAGTAGACCTTAATAGGTCACCAGTACATTGCAGGGCAAACAGCCCATTTAAGATGTCATTTAAGGGAGATTGGTTAATTTCAAAGTCATGCATGGCATTAGAGAGAAGAAGCCAGAGTACCAATGCAAAGAGAAAACGTTTTTTTAATGTGTCAACTTTGCTATTAATTTTAAATTGTCATAATACAAACTGAAGCAATGCACCTTAAGTGTGAAAAAAATTGCTTTCAACTGTATAATTACCTTGGATTAGTTTTAGATTTATGTTTAATTTCCATTTGGGATTAAAGTATTTTTTTATTGAATGAAACCAGTTTGAAAGAAACATTTGTAAGAAAGTAAGCTGATAATAAAGCTGATAACCAAAGGTCCTAAAGACAACTTCTAGTTAATTATAACCACAGAGCTTAGAATCACTACTGCAACATTATCTGCACTTTGCACTTAGAGATTTTTCTTAATGAAAAGTGCGGTACAAATTGGATTTATTATTATTATCTGTAAGTGATAAGTAACTGACTGCTATCCTGAAAGACTCAGTAAAATATTTTATTGAACAAGTTAATTGATGCGGTTACTTAAAATTATTCAATTTAACCTGAAAGGGAAAAAGCAGACAGAAACAAAATGGCCAGGATCTTTGGTAACTCACTTTATTGTTCACTTGTTTTTTTTTTTTTACAGTTTAAAGTTGGGCAGACATGAAAGCAGAGCAACAATACGACAGGAAGGCTGCCACACATCCACGGATGGATGCGTTGTCTCAACACTGGTTGAGAAGCTGAAAGGCCCACAGCTTCAGCCAGCTTACAGACCGCTGTTGCCGTGCAAATTTTACCGCCAACACCAGTCTGATAAGCTAGCTGACGAGGCGGGGGAAAAAGAAGTTAGGGCATCTTTTTTTTAAAAAAAAGATAAATAATTACATGCCTTTAGAGATAAAAATAATATATCAACTAAAAATATCTACCAAAAGCCAAATCCGGCAGACTGTATTAAGATGTTCCAGTAAATCTACTAAAACATCTTTGATCTTGTTCACTTACCTTATAGATGCTTAGGGGAATTAAACATTAAAATCACCACAAAATTAGAGCAGTTTTTCAGGAGGAACATTTAAAAGATCAAATAGCAATAAATAAGACTCAGACTGAACAAAATGTGTCATTGTTTCCATATTTTATATGATCTGACCTAAATGTACAGAATAGAAATGGGACCTTTTGCTAAAATTACAATGGAGATGTTACAACCTTCTCTTAACTTTTGGTTCAGCAACAACTGGAATAGAAATACATCTGATCGTACAGTGGAAAAAAAAAAAAAGAACCATATTTACACAATGTGCAAACCATTAATACCCCACTGTTAATTTATATTGCTTGTTCCCCTCCCAATCGCTATAAACTGACAGTACTGGAACAAAAAAAAAAAAAAGACAAATGTCCTTTTTTATCAGGAGAAAAACACAAAGACCCTGAAAAGAAACGTTTTCCATTTGCAGCTTTCTTGGCAGCACATCGCAAAATCAAATCAACTTCCATCCATACATATTTGTTACATAATTAAATAAAAATCAAGTCCATGAGTCAAGAGCTATATTCAAGGGAATTCAGGCATTCCCAGCTTGCATAAGGCATAGCATCTGATGGGCGCTGCCCTCAGTACAGCAGCTACCATCAAATCACCCCTTTACTTCTGAGGTTAAAGAATGGATTAATTTAACGCTTAAGTAACATGTTAAGACCGCTAGTAGGAGTCACTCACACTACACACACGCATAGTGAGATGAGAGGAAGAACTATAAAATTTGAAGACAGAAACAAGAGCACATACATCCTTAATAGCATGTGTGCAGATGCACACCCCCCGACAGAGGCGAAAAATGCCTGCTTTTCTTTTTAATTAACCCCTCAGCCTGTCTTGAGAAATGAAGATGGTGAGGTTTGTTGGTAAGTTGTGAGCAGCAGCCGCAGAAACACAGTCACTTGGATGCATGAGGCGCTTCGCTTCGCCATCACTTGCTCTTCTCCTCAGAGTGCCTCAGCTGCTGCAGCCGCTTGGCATAGCTCTGAGCCATGGAGTTGATGATGGAGATGACAAAGTAGCAAACCATGACCAGCACCACCTTCTCAAACACCCACGACAGCCAGTTCTCATCCTGGAAAACCCCAAATTAACACGGTCATACTCAGAATTACTCATTCCTGGAAACTATTTAGAGCTTGGATAGACAAGATCAGCTAGGTTTGTATTCCAGTGTAAAATGAGGGACAAAAAGTTTAACTGATAAACCAAATCAAAATCGATGGATTATTAATATTAAACATAAATAAAATGTATTTCACATATAAAAAGGCTGAAGATATGACACGTCACTAAAAAGTTGGAGCTACATTACTTGTCCACCAGAGGGCAGCATTTTAAATGGCCGACTTTTAAAATCTATTTAAAAAGATATGTTAAGCAGATTTTCTAAACTCTGACAGTTATTCTACCCAAAACTGCCGGCTCTCTAAAGGTCCCCATGTTACACAGAATCACAGACACTTCAGGGGAAAAAGGTTCTGAAACTGAAATCTGATGCTCTTACCGCAGGTCCACTCTTCCCAGCATGGTGCAGCTTGTTCTTCTGGGCTTCCAGGTACTGACTAAAGGGCTTCTGTAGTGATGGTCCTATTTTAGGCACAGACCTGAAAAAACAAGGAGAAAAAGAGGAAGAAGGAAAATAAGTTCTATAACTCACCACTCAAACTTCAAAAAGCTTGAAATAAAGTTCCCATCCGTCTCCAAACACTGATCCATCAGCAGCGTCTGAGGCCCCAGCCTGCATACGGGCCCAGTGCTGCAGCTGCCACCACCTCTAATTGTTACTGTGAGAAGCAGTAGGCAGCTGAGAGGAATGAAGCACCAACTCCTCAGTCCTCCTTTTATATTCTTAAGCTCTCTATAGGAGTCTGTGTCAGCCTAAACCAGGAAGTGAGTCGACATGATGTCATCACCTTCACCACTGCTGCTTTCATGTTGGAAATACAGCCAATCAGAATTGACTAATTCTCTCTATTAGACAGGAGTGGAAATGCTCACTGGAGGCCAGTCATAATGAATACCACTATAACGGTTCTCATGCCATAGATGAGCTTTGTTGCTGCGGTTTCACATTTTGGTGCAGCTTAGATGGAACATCTACCTTTAGGTCAAACTCATTACAATAAAAAAGAACAAATATATTGCAGGCTATTGAAAGGATCTGTGTGAATTCAGTCAGGATGTAAACAGGTTGTCTAGACTTGTCTAGACTAAGCAAAAGGAAGAGAGATAACAAGCACCAAATGGAGAAAGGGTAATTCCTGCTGCTGAATAATGCTACATTTTAGTGACTCAGTCTTATCTCCCCAGTCTTACACACAAACAAACATAAATTCAGGCAGGAGAGAGGACTCTATCCCACATGTCAGCAATGAAACTTTATTTTCACAAATCATAGTGAGTCACTGGAGGCCCATATGGTGGGAAAGAACCTTAAAATTGACTGAATCAGGATTTTTTTGTGTCTAAATATGGTTAAAGTTGACAGTGATGCATAATAGCGATGATCTATCAGATAGGAGTGGTCCTAAGTTAAAATCATTCAACTCTTTTCACATAAAAATCACAGATACTGATATATTTGATTGGGTTTTGAATATAAAATTTAAAATAAAATAAGACATGTTTACAAAAATTAATTCAGCCCCTTCACTTTGAAAGTCCTAAATAGTAAACCGAGTCTGTGAATGTTTAAGGTATATAAAATGCTAATCCTTGATCCAAAATTAAGTATTGTAGTTCAAATCTTCATTAGATGGCGGAATGAACTTGGAACAAAAATTATGGATGTAAATTATGATGATTATCCCATGAAGGTCTGGATTTGTTAAACTCTAAACAGGCTGATCCAGCTTCAGTGGACATTCTGGTCAGAGTGAGGCTCAGCGATGTGTATGACCTCCCAGCAGCTCCTGGACAAGCTCCTGATGAGGAGGCCTGGATAAAACCATCAGATAACTGCTGGACAGTCTGAGGTCAAAGTGACCGTGATGGATGGAAAGAGACATGATGTTCCAGGATCTGCTCGACTGGATTCAGGTCTGGGGACAATCCAGTTCACAGCATCAATGTCCTCTTCCTAATCCCTGCTCCAGCATTTGCTCCAACAGCATCTCATTTTGCATCTGTATTCATTCCATTTAACGTAGCCAGTCGGATCAACCTGTTTGAAGGTGACCTCACGCTTACTGCATCAGCTCAGAAGAGCTGGAACCGCAGGCGTGTGAGTACCTTTAGATTTACTCCCACTCAGTAAAACACTTATTCGAACATATTAACCATAAGAGGTAAAAAATGCAGGGGAAAACGTTAGCTGACACAATGCTAACCACAAAAAACCCCCAAAGCACATTGACTTGGAATTTACTCAGCCTTTCTCCCACACTTACCCCATGAGTGAAACCATTTGCTCCACAATGTGCTTGCTGAAGGTAATGATAACAAAAAGTTTCTGTGGGGAAAAGAGAAATAATAATCAGCTATTTTGACCTATAACTTCCAGAGAAATTCACAGTTTAAAATTTGTTAAACCAAAAAAATTGTCATGTGCCAAATTCATTAACCCTGTAATGCCAAATGTATCATATTTGATACATACGGTTTCTGAAATGTTTTGCGTCTGACACCTTTTGCATAATTTAATGGTAAAAACTTTGCTCAAAATCCTATTGTACACAATCAGATATACCTGATAACAGAGGGCAGAAGACTACACAAAAAATAATCTTGACTTATCGCATAGTAATAAATTATTAATATCAAAAATGTATTTCTGTTTTTTCTTTTTACATATTTGTTTGAAGGCCAAATAAGGACTTCAAACAAAAAAAAGGAATTTTCTGTTTTGTTTTATTCTTGGATCAGGCTTTAAAGGGTTAAATTTAATTCAAAAATACTTTGTTAATTCCAAAGGGAAATCAAACATCATCATGACACCATAATGAAAATATGATTGAGCACATAAAATACAGGCAGAAATTAAAAACACTCATAGAAAAAGATTAGAGGGCCCCTTTAATGAATGTAAAAATATGTTTAAAGGAAAAAAAAAAGAGGAAAACTGTTAAAAGAAAAAAGGGAATTGAAAAGTTAGAAGATATAAAACCTTCTTAGAAGAAAATAAACAAAAAAAAAACGGAGTGTCGTTGTACACTAAAGACAAGAAACAGTTTTTAAGACCAATTGTTTCTGACAGAGGTTGGACAATCTGTGGCAATGCATCTAGCCCTTTTCTGGACTCGTGCGTTAAAACTGAGTCAGGATCTGGTAGATGCTGCCCTCACCCCCCCATGCTAGGTATCTGCTCCCCGTTCAGCTCCTAGGCCACCCTGGCATAGTGAGGCACAGGAGGCTTTCACTCGTATGGTTTTATGAGTTTAGTAGCATCTGATAATAGAGATCAGAAAGCTACAGCTTCCTGAGGGGAAAACGAAAAAAACGTATAAAAGTCCTTTTTCACCAGGTGGGGGGTGTTCTCAGTCAAGGGACCGTTTGACAGCTACTGCTGCACAGCTGTGGGGAATCAAGCCTCACTGCTCACAGGCGGTAATTAGAAAACTCAAATCTGGCTCTAAAGCAACACTTTAGGCTGGGGGGGTTGTGTGGTTTGCAAAGGACCAAGGCAGAAGGGTGGGGGCATAATCACATCATTTTTCCTTTGGTTTTGAAACTGATCAGTTTTAAACAGTGTGACACATCGCCCCCCTGGACTAGATCAGAAAGGTTAGAACACGTGATGTCTGAGAAGTTCAAGGTACAGAACCGGCTTTGCCCCCCTGCAGCTTTTAAAGTCTGCCCCATTTCCTTCTACCCTCTCCTGTCCACTTTGCATGGCCCGTAACCCCCCCACAGGGAGAACTGACCTTCCCAGAGCTCTCTGGGTGAGATCACTGACTGCTACCTCCAAGAGATTAATTTGGCGAGTCACTCAGAAACAGACAGCATTGTCTATGTTCATATTAGTCACTAGTGTCAGAGTCTGAACTCCACCCTGAACAACAAAGATTTTATAAATCTATTTGGTGATTCGCCCTTTTTTTTTTGTAATTGCAAACTCTTGTTAAAGACTTTTCTTATCTTGGAGCCGCTTGAAAGGTTGTGGAAACTTACAAAAAGCTAAAACAAGGAGGAGGGAAACCCCAAGAGAGCAGAACCTACAGCGAGAGTCAACCAGAGGTGCACAGAGAGGAGTTTCATAGTAATCAACTTATGACCTCAGAACAAGGTTTGATCTTCCCCAGAACACTTTGAGGTTCTGGAGATTGATCAAAGTACATCAGTCAGCAGTGAACCCTTTTCTGCTAAAGTATAATTCTGATATGCAGAATTACGCTGCGGTTAGACGATTGCGATTATGTGATTCAAAAGGATGAATCATATCAGGAGATGCTGCGAGTATCGTTTCTTTAGAAGAACGGAACAAACCCTGAGAGAAGAAGCTATGGTTTACCCCACCTTAGACGAACCCTTTGCGTGCTCCACTGACCTGTATATGCATCTTGATGATGGCTTTCCCGATCAGAGTTGCTCCAAAGAAGGTCCAAAAAGGAACCAGGAAGTGCCCGCAGGTTATTCCAGCCAAATCGAAGAGAGGATTGGGAATCTGACGAAAAAACAAAACAAAATACGATCACCTTTATATCAAAAGGAGTTCAAATGTGTTTGCAAGTCCATGCTTTGCAAAAGTATTCACACAATTGAACTGTTTCACATTTTGTCACGTTACAACCAGAAGCTTTACTGTTTTTCATGGGGAACATCAACACAAAGGAGTGAAAAACCATTCAGTTTAAGAAACAAGAGCCACTTTTTATCATCCTTAGAAATCTGAAAAGTGTGACTTTTTTTATAAGAAAGACTACAGCAGACACATTAGGGGTAAAGCTGAGAATTGTGAGGCAGAGTTAGCTTATAGCATCACAAGAAGTACTCAAGTCATACAATAGCGAAGCACAGATTGCAAAAAAACAAAAAAAAACAAACAAGATGTGACATGAGATATGGCCTTTTGACAATAAGACAGCCATTGTTGAAAGAAAGGCATCAGAAGGACAATGAGCCTAAACATGCAGCCAAAGCTGGTAGAATGACTGAGATCAAAGCATTGTGTGGCAGGCTGGTCCAGTTAAAGTTCAGACCTAAATTCAAATTAGAATCTAAAGCAAGACTTTAAAACTGAGGTTAAACTGCTGTTCTTCAATTAGAACAAACTTGAGCAGCAAAAAAAAGGAAATGTTTTAGTCTGCATTTGTGAAACACTGAGAGTTAAAAACTCCTGCAGAAAAGATGATCACACAACATTACAGCTCAGAATGATTGAATAGAAATCGATGCCAGTTATTATATTTTTTGTGTCAAAAATAAAATCATGCATATCCAATTTTCTTTTCTCCTCCAATTTATGTTAATTGCACTCAAGTCTAACTTAAAAATCCTCCCAAAGGCAGAAATATTTGTAGGGTTTTAAATACTTTTGCAATCTTCAGTACTTTGTGGACTTACAGAGGCACAAGCCAGGATCCCAAAGAACCCCACTTTCTGCACCATGTGCTGAACTCCCAGTTTTGCTCTTGTGACAAAGTCCTGAAGAAAAAAAAAACAAAAAAACATTCAGAGTACATTTTAATTCCTGACTGCAGTCATACATGTTTGAATCAATTTGTCTGAAGTTACTTTCAGGCCATTTAAAACTTTCCCAGCCCATGTCATTTTAAAGCTACATTACATTTCAGTCACATACACTTTACATATAATTTGAGCTTTTCCGAAACATGATCACCCATCTTTATTGTCTGAATAAATCAACGCACTTTCTTGTGGCTTTTATTACAACGTTTTCCTGTAACACTATAACAAGGAACAGAATATTTGGTAAGAAGGCTGTGGTAAACTGCTATTTTCAAGCATGGCAATTTTTGCTTTTCTCTCTCCGTTTGGTAAATGTCGTGGCGTTTTGCTTAAATCTGTGGCGTATCAAAGCTCCACAGCTCTTCTGATTGCATCTGTTCTCCTGCAAGGGGTTCAAACTGTGTGGTTTCATGGTAAAGATAACTGGCCAATCAAGGAGGAAATGAGGAGCATGTTTCATCAAATTGGCACAAAAGTTAATTCAAAGCAAGTTTTTGTTTAGTCTCAGACTTCTTAATGGAAACACACCCTTTTAAAATGATAAGTTTTGCTTTTCACAGTATTTATGGCCCTAGTTTGATAACAGAAATAACCCAAAGCCAACTTCCCTTTGCTTGTTTCTAATTAGAGAATTCCTTTTTTTCCTCCTTTCTTTAAAGAGAGCTTATCTTTTCTGCCACATTAAGTCTTTATTTTAACTAAACAGGAGTAATTTTAGCCAGGTCTTCACTTCTGGCATGTTGCTTTATTAACAGAGAAAGAAAAACGCAGGTGCAAAAATCTTTCCAACCAGCGAAGAGGGACTAAGTGATGGAGACAATGCCTCCTCTCTTGCCTTTGTAATCTCCATCCTGCTGACTCAGCATCTGATCTAAGCAGTGTGCAGTCATGTGAACTCTGTTCCTGACAGCGCTGTCTGTCATTAGAGCCGGTGAGGAGAGCGACGGAGAGAAATGGAGGGAGGCAAAGTGAGTGAAGCCCGAGGGATGATTAAAGAGGGAGCTGGGCTCGGGTTGACTCACCCAAAAACAGCCAGATTTACTGGAAGTAGAGGGCGGGAGGGGCTGTGCTGAAGTCATATGCTGCTTTAGGACCAATCACAGGCCCCTTTGGTTCCATGTTCCGTTGTTGGTTTTTAAAATTGGGGAAAATTTAATAAAAAGAATGATATCATAATGAGATAAGGGGTAATAAAATAGATTTAGAATAAAGTGGTTTGGTTAAGGTGCCCTTTTTATTTAAGGATGAAGAGGATTAAAGCTACTGGCTGTTTAAAAATCCCAGAAAATTAATCTAAGTAATAAAACGATCCACTTAAATGTTAAGCTCTTGATTTTTTTTTTTTTTTGGAAGCGATGAGCAGAAAGCATATCTTTATAATCATCAAGAAGACATTTAGAATATAAATATTTATTTAAAACTCACCCTGTTTATAAGGAATGTTATTTCCATCCCAGGTGACAAATTCGACTGATTTTGGTAAATTTTACAGAAAATGTCTAACTTATTGCTCCTTTAAATCAAAGAACCACTTTATAAACACAAGTGCTGATATTTCCTACCTGAGCGCCTTCTGCTTGCTCGAGCATCTCTTCAAATTCCTCATAATCTTCATCATCTGGATCAGTTCCTGACTGGCGAGCCGCTCTGGCCATAAAATACGGCGGCAGCTCTCCGATGGCCGTACCTGCGCCCTGAACAGACATGGCTGCCGTTATTATACGGTCACCTTTTTCCAAATTAGTAACATGTTTGACCACTGAACCTGTCAGTCGGCCGTCTATGTCAGATATATTCTTGTTGGCTTCACCACTCACCCACATGCAGGCCTCCAGGCGGACCTTTGACATGATTGAGAAGAGAGAGACGCTGCTCTCCATGCCTCCCTCTTCAGGACAGATGATCTGGTCTGGGTATGGAGGCTCTGGGAAGTCTGTGGAGCCACATTCATAGGCTGCCAGGGTGACTGAAGCTATATGAGGGCCCTAAAAGGGAGAGACAGAGAGATATTGGGCATATGGAGACTATAAAAAATAAAAAAGATATACTGAAAAATGTTGGATGACTGAACAATTAAATCAACCAAATCAGTAAAAGAAACTGTTTGGGCATATTCTGCTGTGCAGGTTTATCCTAATGTCTAATAAGGGTGTATTCACAAAAGCGGACATATTTTTTTTGTGCAAGAAAATTTTATTTTTACTCATTCCAATATTAATACAAGACAAGAGCACAAACCCAGAAATGGAGGAAAACCAATGAGGGAATTCTGAGTGCAGCACTTTTGTTTGCACATCTATGCGGTTAATACAGCTGCAGAACCACAGCAGCTCATCCAATGCAGATTTCTAACGTGTCACCGAACGCATCTTTAAAGCCGAGTAAGAGCCACAGCTAGCTTACAGCAGCGTTGCTAAGCAACAGACAGCAGAACAGGTAGCATTGTGATACTATGTTTACTACTACGGCTGCTTGTAAAGTCCAAAGAGAAAATATGTTTTCTCTGTATTTGGGTCAGACCGAGTTCGGTTTGTATTCATGCCTGAAGTGAATCGCAGCAGATTCTGTCTGAAAGCGGACTGAGACCACCTCTAAAGGTGGGTCTCGATCCAGTTCTTTGTCTGGATCATAGTTCGCTTGTCTTTATTCACACGTGCACAAAAGGTCCGGTTCAATGTGGGAAACTAACTATGTTCGGTTTAAAGCGGATAAAATGCGACTTGTTTGAACAGGTTGTCCTCCAGGATTAAATGCGAGTAATAACAGGTTTAATAAAAATGAGAACTAAATGTTGCACCTTTTTCCTATTTATATTGTGTTTTAAAAACCTTCAAAAAAAGAAGAGGACATAAAATCTTGTTATTCTTTCATTTTCATTCAGTAAAGCTTTTTGATCACATTTATATTCATTTAGGGACTAGATCCTGAATTCTAATAGGAACTAAGTGCTTCCAGTTAGCAGCTTACCACCATTAAATATAGTTATGCTTGATCATATGTTGAATTGGTAAACCAATACAACATCCACACCACCCTGGAAGCACATACACTAACTGAGTCACACAATGCGTCTTTGACGGGTCGATCATTGTTTCTCCAAAGATTTGCGATGACACAGACCCACCTGGCCTCTCTGACAGCTGGCCCACCTGCAACTAAAACACACTTAATCCTTTATGCCACCAGCAGACAGCCAGCTGACAGATCTCTATAAGGCAGCGCTGACATAAACTCCTTCAACCCTTCTTCATCCCAACTACAGGACAGTTCAACAAGAACTTCATTTAAAAGTAGTTTTACCTGCCTGAACAAGCCAGCGTTTGACGCTCACAAACACAGAGTGAGGGCCTGCACCTGATTCAAACGTTAACTCCAGCTATCTGACAGGAATTAAACACCTTAAAGTAAAGAAATCCCTCTTAAACATCTAAATATTATAAGATTTAGAACAGGCTTTCCCTTATAAGCAAGATTTTGAAGTTAAAAGACTGTAATAATATAATTTAAACTGCTTAATTTTGTTTATTACATTTTAATGTAATATTTTAATATAAATATTGGAGGATTTTTCTCCACCAAACCTGAATAAAAAGCCTGCCTGTTCAAAATAGGAGCAGCTTAAGGTAATGAAAACCTCTTGATTTAAATTCCTCTGCCAATAAATGAGCTACACTGGAAAAACAATGCAAAAGATAAGTAAAAATGTTTTAAATTAAGTGTATTTAACCTTAACTTGAGAAGGCAAATTAGATAGTTTGCCAATGGGAGGAGGATTTTTATTCTTAAAATAAGATAATTAGATAATATGCACGTGAAATAAGACAATTGCAATTGTGTTTTCTTATTTTAAATGTAAATTGTCTCGTTCCATTGGCAAAATGTGTCTTTTATCTCCTCAATCCAAGAACAAATGCACTTATTTTAATAAAAAATGACTCATCTAGATTTCGCCTTTGTCCAGTGTAGTTTCAGGATTAGGAGGATTTGCTGACCTGAAAAGGTCTTGGTCTTTTTTTTTTTTTTTTTTACAATGTGAAAATATTTAAATTTTTTCATTGTTTAAAACTCCTAATTTGTTCTACTATTTAACATCTGCTACCTGCCTTTAATAGTTAAAACTATCACCTATAATATAGTTGTAATCATTAAAAAATATTTCAAATAATTACATTTTTTTTCTTTTATAACCTGACAGATGGATCTGATTAATGTGTGAGAAACAGGGCCAAGATGCGCTATTTTTGAATAAAGTTAAAATTTATATTGTAATGTTAGTTTAAACGTCTGTAAATAAAATAAGAATGAAAATAACAAATGTTCATCTTTAGAATAAAATTGAAACCTCAGGATCAGCACTTTTGAATGATGATGATGAATCTCTGTGGTGACTGAATCCCATGAGCTAATCCTCCCTATGGGGTGTTTAAACACCGCTGCAAGACTGAGTAAATCCACTGAAACTCCGCGTGTGGTTCATCTTTATAATTATCACATTCAACAAGAATGACTTTGTCAAAATGAACCAAAATAAGTGCTGAGAACAAAGAGTCTCGTGAGTCTCACTAGTCTGGTGAGAAGCAGCATGGAATCATGTGACACAGTTTGAGCTTTTCTGTGAAGACACAAAGCAGCCGTTTTTAATGGGTCTGAGTGTAACAGATCTAAAGTGACAATGAAATGTCAAACTTTATTCAACATGACCTTTCAGATTAACAAACATTTGTCTCAAACTCAGTAAAATGGATCAAGCTGAGCAGCCTTCTAAATTTTTTTTTATTTTATTTCTAAAATAATTAACACAAACTAATGCTTTTGTATCCGAATGCACAGATAAAGTCAAGATGAAGCCATTTTCCCTTTTTGTGTCTGAGTACTTTTACTAGTAAAATACTAGTTAATTCATTTTTTTTTTTTTTTTATTATGGTTGATTTAGGTTAACCTTGGTAGCAAATCTAAATGAATATGATCATATTAGGGTGAGATAAACTCCAGGCAGAGGAGTAAGACCCAGAATGCAGGGCTTTTACATAAAAGACAAGAAGAGAGAAGGTCCCACTTCCTCTGGAAAAGCAGAAGATAGCGAAACTAAACCCCAACAAATTTAGAAACTAACAAGGATGTTTCTAAAGACAGAAATGCTTATATATACTTTCTCTTATTTCATGGAAACAGCTGAGTCAGCAGGCCCACATGTGAACAAGTTCTACAGAACAGAAGTCCACCGTCTTCCACTCTAAATCGGATCATAACTGCTTACTTTCTTCCACTCTTTCATCAAGCTTCACCACATCGAAGAGGAATGACACACGTCAGTGGTTCGGTTAATGCAGTCATCCTCACAGACGAGCGTCAGTGAGGAAACTGAAGGTCACACCTGGTTGGCTCCTTTGACTCAGAATGTTTAATAAGACAATGACTTCTATCAGGGTATGAAGGAGAGCGCCATCATCTGGCAACAACTGGGATAGACTCATAAAAGTTATAATTCTTTGGTGTTGGAGGTAAACTACTCCAACATCCTGACCTCAGCCTTACAGAAAACCTCAGGATTAATTGGAGCAAAGGCGGCAATTCAGGTTTTCTCATCCTACTATGAACCTCCAGGGTTTATTGCCTCGTAAAGTATTATCAGTTTACATGCAAAGCAGATCAACGTTCCTCCGTTTGTCATGTAGGTGGATTTGTTTTACAACTACTGAAACAGATATTGTTTTAGAAATATTTTTGAAGTTATAGGCAGAATTTAAAATTTGCTGCTGATAAAATCTGAAGCTTTTTTTTAAATTAACCTTCATGATAGCTTTGCAATGTAATTCAATCAAACTTTAATTTTTACATTAAAACTTAGAAATATTGGCAGATCTCCTAGCCTGTTCAACCAGACTATATTTGAGACTAAATGTGTAATTTAGTCCGGACCTAATGAACGCGACATCGGAAGATTGTTGATGAGAACAACCAGTTGTCTTTCAAACCATGTCTGTGCCCATTGGCCAATGCTCTGACCAATCAGCTCAACTGACTGTGATGTAGTAAGCGTGACAGAAAGCTGGTGGGGGAGAGTAAACAAACAGCCTGTCTGTAAAATGGCGAATACGTCCTTCTCAAAAATTAATGAGTGTAGAGCCTCTTCCTGCCTACGTTTCAATGAAAAACTCCAACTCTAATCCTTCCAAGACTGATTCCAAAGCTGAGTTCAACCAGAATTGTTCAATAGTTGTTGCCATCTTCCATGTTGTGTTTTCTCCAGCGTCGCGCAGCTTTGTCGTCACCCCCTCAAAACCCCGCCCGCTTTGCATCCAGAACTTCATAACAGATCTGTGCGTTGTGATTGGCCCGCCAGTTCTAGGGCCTGTGGCATTGATGAAGCTAAACCACTCGCAGGGAAAAATGATTTTGGCCGCTGGCGGGTGGGGGTAGTTTACCAAGCTACAGATCTCCGGTTTTTCCTAACACGCTGCCTACCAAAGTGTTACTACAGTTATTCTGCTATAGAATGGAAATAGATATCAGTAAAAAACTTCTACATGTATTCAAACTTCAAAGTAAATTCCTGTATTTATTTCAAGCTGTCCACATGCTGCTTATGTTCTTACCAGATAAAGGAGGAAGGTGTGCAGACCAGTCCCCAATCCCACTGAGGACAGGATCCCAAGGCCTACCCAGTAGGCACACCACAGGAACTTCTTCTCCAGGTATTGAACATACTGGAAGGAAATGTTAAGCAGATAAACATTTGAACGCAAGACAGGAAATAGAGAAAAGCCAATATAGCTTAAGATTTTGAGCTCAAGTATTTTTGATTTATGTACATTTATTTTCTCAATAAACACATTTACTTTTATTTTATTTTTTTATGGATGTGGATAACATTTCAGTGTCTCTCTGTGAAAAACTAAACCCTTTGAACAAAAACAAGATACCTTTCTTGGATAAAGAAAGTTTTCATGTAGAAAAAAAGACAGCATTTCTTCGAACGTATCTGATCAATCGATCAAACATGTGAGCCTTTTTAAAAGCACCTGGACCACAAAAGGTCTACGCTAACAATATGTCAAGGCTGAAAGACGTCAGCAAATCGTCTTATAAGTTTTACTTGGTAATTTAGGCCTTAACTACGTCTCAAGTGTCTATTTTCACAGTAACTAATTAGACTACATAAGAGCCTGCCTTAAAGGGTCTTCATTGCATATTTGGCCTACTTTACTGTAGGTAAGAGATTATGCCTTTTATAAATGTCAGTCTAGCTACACTACTAGAGATAACAAAAAGATGATTTCCTAACAGAAAGTCAACAGGTCTGAGATACAACTTAGACAGTTTCTTTTTAGAAAACAAAAAAAACTGCTCTGATTTGTCATATAGCCTTATAAGAACTTTCTCCTTCAGGTGTGTTTCAATGAAAGTTTGAACTTTGAGCTCAAAATAACTTCACTAGAATGTTAATTTTTCCCGGGGCATCCTAACCTTAACATGCAAGAACCATGTACCTGGGGTGGGGGGTAGGAATTAAACCAACAATGAACATACGAGAAATTACTTTTTATTTTTCCCCCTCAATTTTTGTTAAATATAGGAATGGAAAACAGTTATTTTTGGTTGCCATACTAAATTAAATATACTTAAAATTGATAAGGGGATGCATTCATTTTATTGTTATTAGTTTTATTCTTATAGCATCTTGTTTTTCTGAGTGCTATCGCAAATTACATCAGCCTTCTAGAAGCTGGATGTGCAACCTGTCTGGAGTATGATCTTCTCTTCAAACCCAGTTTAAAATATCACCAACAAATCACTTTTATCATAAATATGAATACATTTAAAAGTTTGGATGAATACGTTTAGGTAAATGTCAGAAAAAAAAGTTAAACTAACGTCCTAATCATATATAAATAAACCAGCAGTAAGGAGAATATATATGGCAGCCAAATTAGTTATCAGTGTAGGCTTCAGGAACTATTAAACCCCCCGGTGTGCAGGGGCACTGTATGAGGGATGGGATTTAGAAAAGTTCCAAGAGCCCATGACTGAGGCAGGCCCCAAAAGATATTTTACATGATGTATTTGGAATATGGTAAGAACATTCCAGCAATAAAGTAAATTGCCTTTGTGTTCTCATTGAGCTTTCAGCAGTAAATGAAAAATTAACCCACCCCATGAAATGCCGGGGGGCAACATAAATAGTCTTTCATGGGGCCCTAAATAACTGGCGGCACCACAGCCGGATTGTAACAGCCTTGCTATCTAACATCTACACAGTGCTAGATGCACCAGTTCAGTTTTTTATTCTTTTTTTAATTTTAGTTAAATTTATTTTAGCAAAACATAAATCAACATATCCCCAGAAAAGGTGGCTAAAGCTAAAACAGATCTCACAGCTTGTGGATATTTGTGCATATTTCTCTGCTTCTGTCTCCTTGAACCCCAGTCGGCCTCGGCAGATGGCCGCTCACACTGAGCCTGGTTCTGCTGGAGGTTTCTTCCTGTTAAAATGGAGTTTTTCCTCTCCAATGTCGCTACAAGCATGCTTAGTGTGAGGGATTGCCTTCGAGTCAATGAGTCGAACAATCAACCGGTTTTCCTTAGAGAACTTTGAATCAACTTTAATGTATGATCTGTTGAAGTAAAGTGCCTTGTGATTACATGTTGTGAATTGGCGCTATATAAATAAACCGAATTGAATTGCAACATTTCCAGCACCCACTGCCGATTGTGAAAAATGTAGTTTCATGAATCATATCTAAAGAAATCATCTTTAAGTGGCATATTTAGAAAACCATTGGAAAGGTGAGAAGGGCAGACATGAAAAATAGAAAGTTATAGTCAGATTTGTTCATTATCTAGTGACATTTTTTTACTTTTCTTATTTATAGATATTGGTTGCAAAATACTTATACTGGTATACAATTTATAATAGAAATACTTTATTAAATATTCACAGAAAGAGTTACAGGAATTTATACTGCATCACAAACTTCAGCAAATATTTCATTGTGCGAAATGTAAATGTATTAATGTGAACCAAAATGTTTGAAAGGAGCCTCATACTGGCCAAAGTTGGACTAAATATAGCATCCTACACATCTAATATATACATTTTATTTTTTTATAAAGTGGACCAAATTTTAATTCAACTTATTGCTGCTGTAATCTCTTCTTCTTTTAATAAACAATGTAATTTGCTATAATCTGGGGTTTAGAAAGTGTTTAGTATTGGTGTGTGGCTTCAGCGTGCACATCTGATGCTGCAAACACTGGCTAGCAGTGTACTCTGGGGGTTTGTCTGAATGCTCAGACACATGGAAAATTAAGTGGGAACATTGGTCACTGCAGCCCCAGTGTGAACTATGCTCATTGACATAAATAAATAAATAATCGACACACCTCAAAGGACAAAAATACTTTAACTAAGATGTTAGAGACTGATAAAGACATTCAGGAACAGGAAGTTCTTTAAGATACTGGTGATACAAAGCTGGTTTTGCCACCAACTGCCTCTTGTCATGTACTATGAGGAGTACAAAGCTATGGACAGGACTCACTGTCAGCTTGTGATTGTAGCACTGTTACACCTTAGTTTGCTGGATTTAAGTTTAGACCACTTTGAAAAAAGCTTGATTTTATTTTTACTTGTTAATATTGAGTTAAAAATTACACGCAGAGTTTCTCTGCTTTAACTGAACTGCTGGAGGGAGCTGCACTGATAAAGCAGTAAACAAAACTTTCAGCCCGTTGGAAGTGTGATCAAGGGTTACTTGCCAACAGTGCACACTGCATTATCTATCAACACAAGGTTTCAGCATGCAAAGTTTATGACGATAAAACCAGAATTATCACGAACCTTCAAACAGCTTTCAGTCAGGCAACGGAGTCGATCATTTATGTGGCTGAAACAAAATAAATGCTCACCGTTTGGTGTGATCCATCAGTGGAGTATGTGATAGAGAACAGAAAGCACAACAACAGAAATATGAACACTGTGCCTCGCCGGTGCCAAAGCCTGCGAGGGAAAACAATGAAGCAATATAATCAGTAAATACACTTCCAAACAAGCAAAATAATAAAATATAACAAATCTCTTTCAAATATTGTTCTGAAGTCTTAATCCTGTCACAAAAACACTAATTTTTAAAAGTCATCTGAATGGTTGAAAATGAAATTGGTCTGCTTAGTTTTCAGTAGCTATTCAATAACAGGAAACCACTCACAACCAAAAATATATCACTGAATAACCTACACCGGAGGTCTTCAACAGGGGGTCCGCGACCCCTAGGGAGTCCACGTGGGTGGTGGTTGTGGCTTTTTTTTTTTTTTTTTTCTTTGCCCTTTTTTTTTTTTCTTGTAATTTCTTTGTCTTTACATTCACATTAATTTGACTTCCTGTCGTTGTCGTATTCATGGAGGTGGGAGGTGTCTTTTGTTTTTCAGTGCTTACTTTCCGCGTTCCGGGACAGCTCTTTGCTGTTTGGCGCTGTTTCCTTTTTCATTCCTGTCCCCTGTCTGATGAATGAGGATTCGGAATCAGTTATTTTTTCTTGGTCTCAGTTCTTTTTTTTTTTTTTTTCCTTATTTCATATGTTGTCTATTGGCTCTGTTTGCTGTTTGACTATTTCGTACAATATATATAATTAGGGGGTGCCCGCTGCATCTCTTCATCAGTTTGGGGGTCCTTGGCCTGGAAAACGTTGAAGACCCCTGACCTAAACAGAACAGAGGACAAAGATCCAATAGAAAAATCTGTTTAACAGCTTACTCAAAAGTCCACTCCTTTAGCTTTACGAGGGTCTCCAGAAGAAAATAATGAAGGGTGACAACAGGCCTCCTCCATAACACCAGCGACAGACGCTCCTCTTTGTCTTTGTGTCGCCTTTCTCTCAATGACAGATCTGAAGGACAAACAGAGCTGGGATCATCTTGAGTTTCTGGAGAACTACTGGGTTCAGCAACTATAACATCCTGAGGAACTGATAATGCAACGCTCATAATTAAGGTGGCAGCAGCAGGTCTGTCTTACTTCCTGTCATGCTGGGAGCTATTTCATAACCCTGCTGCCAATACGGTGAGATCAGAGAATGAAAAAGAGTTATAATTAGTAAACTTTAACTCGAACCTTTGACACTAACCTGTGGACTTGCCGTTCTGTTTATCTTTGGGTCCTGCTCGCTGCTCACAGCTTGATCCGTTGGCTGCCATTTCTCTCTCTGTCAAGGTTTCTAACTGCTCAGGCAGTCTAGAAGAAAATAAAGATCAATAAGGAGGCGTTAGTGGACAGTAAACAGGCCCTCCTTTGTTGTCAGTGGCTTTCTACGGGACACGGAGTACTCCGTTGGCGGGGCTATTGAGCAATAACCCGTGGAAGTGTCAAACACACCGGCGGCTAGCTCACCTTTTTGTCCGTGGTGGCAAAGATAGGGAGAGAGAACAAACACACACACAAATATGTGAAAATACTGACGCCAGACTTTAGAAATAAAAACAGAATGGAGTCAAGCGGAAGAAATGTCTGTTTGTAGGTCAATCTGTAACAGGATACGATGTCAGATGCGCTCTAACATCAGAACCCTTCACATGCTAACCGGTTAGCCAACAGGGACACCGGGAGCCTTTACATTCAAATTAGAGCTTTAAAATCATATACCATTCAGATTATTTGTACGCAAATACGTAAAATTACGTATTACAATACTATTAAGGTAATACAAGCAACAAAAAAAGATATATATCAACGTTTCTCTATTTAATAAAACGGCACCAGCGTACCTCTTTCCTGTCTTCTTCACCCGGAAACACAAAACCTGGAACCTTCAAAATAAAACTACGTTGAGGCTGAAAGTGTAAGATATTCCAGCGACACTGACGTTTTAAAACTTGGCATAAAATCATAAGGGGATTTAATTCTCCTATTTTTGAGTTTAACCTCTTAAAGTACCCAATTAACGTGTTTAATAAAGAAATATTCATTTCCTCCGTTATCCTCTTCCTGTCCAATAAGAAGCTGCCAGATTTCAGAAGTAGGATTCTGTAACCATGGCAACGCAGTGCCGCGTCTGTTTGCCCCTTAGTAGCTTTACTAACAGAGACCCCCTGAGCTAACTATATTTTCAAATAAATGATATATGACAAAAAAATAAAGATATATATATATTTATACACATTTATAAATAATATGGGAAAGAAAAAAAAAAATCTGAGACAAGTTTTAAATGAGCATATTTAAACAAATTTTCATTTACAAAGTAGGAAAACCGGCTATGGTGTGTCAGTTCGGTCTTCTTCACTCCCAGTAAAAGTTTATTCAGACAGGTGAAACTGCTGGTGAAGACTCATAGCCTGATAAACCAGACTAAATGTGAGATTAAATGTGTAATTCAGTCTGGCCCAGATGAATGAGCTATCAGAAGATTGTTGATGAGAACAACTCGTTGTCTATCAAGCCATGTCTGTGCCTATTTGCCAACACTCTGACCAATGAGTGCAAATGACTGTGACGTAGTAAGTATGACAAGAAGCTGGTGGGGGAGTGTAAACAAACAGTCTGTCAGTAAAACGGAGAATACGTCCTTCTCAAAAAGGAATGAGCGTAGAGCCTCTTCCTGCTCACGTTTCAACGAAAACCCCAAGTCTAATCCTTCCAAAATTGATTCCAAACCTGATTCCAAACCTTAGTCAAACAAGAACCGTTCAATAGTTGTTGCCATCTTCCATGTTGTGCTTTGTCCATCGTTGCGCAGCTTTGTCATCATTCCCTCAAAACCCTGCCCGCTTTGCATCCAGAAATTCAAAACATCTCTGCGTTGTGATTGGCCCGCCAGTTCTAGGGCCTAGGGCATTGATAAAGGCTAGACCACTCGCAGGCAAAAATGATTTTGGCTGCTGGCGGTGGTGCTAGTTTACTAGGCTAGAAGACTCATGTATCAGAACAAAAAAAGGGTTGTTTTTTTTAACAACTAGATGCAACTGTTTTTTGTTTAAGCAAACACTGACAGTACTGCTGTACCACTGTATGCATCAAAAATACACATTTTGTGTGTACATTTGTTTTTCTATTACCTAGACTTTACAGAAGACAAAATTAGATGAAAAAAGCCGATTTATTTGTCTTTATTACTGGTACATACGTTTTTCAAAAACGTACTTTGACAAACAAATTTGTCGCTCAGTGCTAACTGGATCAATGAAATTAGTCAAATATTGACCAAAGAAATATTTTGAGTTATCCAATAACAACAAGTATCAACTATGTAGAAGTGGCGCCCAAAATAACAAACTGCAAAAAAAGAAAAGTTGAAATTAAAACAATCAGATCCTAAAAAGTGCAATGATTGCCTTGTTGCTTCACGAAATAAGATTTTACTCTTGATAACGAGGGAACAGTCAAACAGACGTTCCACAACAGATGCGGTCCTAAGGCATGGATAGCAATAGAAACCATAAAAACAGTCTCAGCAGGTTGCTTGCTTCGTTTATGGACAGTAGCCCAGGTTGGTAGTGAACTCCATCCTCATCTTGTGCCAACTTTTACTCATCATAATGAAGAGAGGAAAGGAACTTATCCACGTCTAAATCGTCGGGGAAACACTCAATAAGTTTCTTCCTTTCCTGCAAAAAACAAAGAAAAAGAAAAATTGAGTTATAAAATGTATTTATAACCAAAATGGCACCAAATGGCATGGTGCAGCGATTTTTACAACACATAACCAGAAGTGGCTTGGCTGAAATTTTTTACCTTTTATTCATTAACTTCTTCTATTTAAAAACTTTAGACCATTCAGTTTACATTTATACTTTAATTTCAAGCCTTTTTCAATAGATAAATGACGCCAGACTGCTGTTTATAGAGATTTAAACTATTTGTTTGCTCGATCACCTATAATTTTACCAATACATTTCAGTCAAACCCAAAAGTTAACAAGAGAAGTTTTAAAGGGGACTAAATCGCTTAACGTAATTACATTAGGTTTATCCCTTTCCCTGCAGGCCAACTTGTGCATAACTTATAGGTATCTTATCAAGAACTTATCTCTAACGCATATCAACGTATTTGACGTGTTCCAGACGACCGCTGAATGTGTTTCTGACTTACAGCTACTGTATACTGCCATATTGGCAGCGTTTTTGTGTAAAGGGGGGTTCACAGGAGGAATCCATCAGTTCTCCTCCCGACTTCCTCCCTATCATAGGGTGAGGGAGAAGGTGAGTGTGATGAATCCTCCCTGTGAATCCTCCCACGGCCATTGGAACAACCAACAATCTTTCTAGAAGACATGATGCTAAATCTGCTGTGACTGCAAACCTTTTCTTTCTTTTTCTGCGCTTCCTCCTCCGGGCACATCGCGGCCCGCCTCAGGATACTGGCTTGTGCATCATTTCATGGGTATTACTCTGCAGTGTGGTATGCATAAGTTAGGCTGCCATTGGACATACGCTCTGGACTCATCAGATTCTGGGAAGTCTGGCATACACTGTCTAAATCAGCAATTTATATGAAGTCCCAATAAATTCTTATTGGGACTTCCAATGCATTTTTGGTCATGATCTAGCCCTGCAGAACAATACTATTTTTAGTGGTAGATATTAAAAGTGCAATTAAATGATCCACTAAGATGTGTTTTACCGAACTTAATGGGACCACTTCACCTGTGGTGAAGAAATTGAGAAACAACTAGCAGTAAGATATTTACCTGGAACACTAAGTTCAATAAACAATCTACAAATACAGCGATTTTTTTAAGGACCTGAGAAATTTGCTGGGCAGTAAAAGCACAAAAACCATCAGGAAAACCAAGGAAGCCACCACCGAGGTCAAGGATAAAGTCCTGGATCAGTTTAAAGGTGAAAAAAAAAAAAACAGTTTGAAACTATTAATCAAAATCACATGGAGGAAAACACATGAATAAAATATCATAAGCCATTGGGTCGCCATATTTAATCAGAAAACCTTTGTTTGCAACAAGAAAGCTACAAATGTCACTTCATCCCAATCTAATGATGTGATCAGAACAAGTTTGGATGGATGTTGATTAGATTATAGATCAGGAATAAACACTGGAACGAGATTATATTTCCATTGAGCCCAATGCGATCAAAACATTCCCACTATAGTGTTTACATGATACATTTTTATTTTGATCTGACCTTTATTCTAAATCCTTGTCAGAGTAAACATTCCTACTGACCACTTCACAAGGGGGGGTGCAACAAAAGGTGTCAATACTTCTAAGCATATTCACAGAAAGTTAGTTGGAAGGGAAAAATTGCACCAGCAAAAGGAATAACTGTGGTCTTTAACGGAATGTTGAGCAAATTGGGCTGAGTGGGAAGTCAGAACATATGAGGCCACTACATACAGATATTGTCCTGAACCACCAACATCTCTTCAGGTCTTAAATGGGTTACGTAGAAAAAAGGGAAACCAGACCGCTGCTAAGGGCTCCAAAGTATTTGTGACTGATAAAATAGAATTTGAATTTCTATTTGGATATAAAGGTCCCAGAGTCTGGAGGAAGAGTTGAGCAACTTTTCTGGGGTTGATCCGCCATGTTTTCAGAAATTTGGACCATTTGATGCTTCCTTCAGCTGTCAAACTCTATAGGTACGCTGATTTGATTTTCCAGCAGGACCTACAGTAGTACCTGTCTACATTTTCAAAGGTGCCAAAAGCTTGTTTGATGATTACTGAGCGACTGTCGTCTACAGCCCAGCAGATTGGCCTCAACTGATCCATAGAGAATCAAGAGACAAACAGACACCAGACCAAACACTGTAGATGATCTGAAAATCTCTATCAATGCTTCAATTATGCCTCAGTAGAACGATGGGCTGACTGCCTCACTGATCCAGTAATCCATTAAAGAAACCCTAACCTTGTATCAAGTGCCTAGAAAATAACAATTTTGAAGCCTGATTCCTAGAAAGTTGGCTATGAACCTGGATGATTGAGAATCTTCAACCAGCATTTGAAGCCTGATATTCAGGCTCAAAAGATCCTATTAATTTTTTAACATTTAATACTTTCTGAGACGGTGAACCTAGGTTGTCATTATCTGTTATTTATCATTTCATCAGACTTGCATAATAAATCTATAAACCCCATAAGTTTCAGTTTCTGAAACAAGTGATGTTTTTCATAAATTGTTGTTAATGGATGAAAATAATCCTCTCTACTCACTTTGTCCTTCTTGCTGCTGGGAGATCGCTTGCGTTCTCTCTTGGCAGAAGGACTCTCTCTGGCTGGGGAAAGCTTGCGTTTTTTGCTCTTGGAGCTCACTGGTGACTTCTCTCCTGCTTCCTCCTGCCGCAGGCTGTCTTTAAGCGGAGTGCCTGTCCTGGCGATGGCAGCGCGAGAAAGAATCATGAGGGTGTGTGCGGCCATGTTAATGCTGCTTTCGCTCCCAGCTTCGCTGGCAGGGCTACAGGTTGGCACATCTGGGGTGTTGGGAAGCAAAAGCTGCTTTGGAGTCCCCTCTGCGTTTTTAGCGTTTCTCGGACGGGAAGGAGTCCTCTGAAAATCACCAGGAACTTCCTGGTTATGATCAGCCTCAGAAAGACTCAGCTCTGGAGTGCCGGCTCCAGCCTTTCTGAGCGGATTAGAGGGAGAACTGAGGCCTCTTAGGTCTTGTAGCATCTCAGCAGCCTGTTTAGCCAGAGAACTAGTTTTTGATGCAGCCTTTCCAGGCTTGGCCTGTGCGACAGGTGGAGGGCTGAAGTCTCTGGATGCTGGGGAGGCCATTGTTGACTGTTGTTTCCTATCTTCCAGGCTACCTTTCATTTCATTCTCCTTGTTCGCTCTGACATTCACGGTG